AACTGCTGGAGGGTGCGCTGTGAGTCCATTCTGACTCAGCAGTACACAACAACAAATATATATATATATATACACACACACGTACACATGAATGTGATCTTAGCTAGCCTGAAAAAGTAAATGGCACAAGCAAATGTATTCTGAAAGACACTTGACAAGAAACCAAGAATTTCAGTCAAGAATTTTGGACTGTTTCATAAGTCCATTCACTAAATAAATGTATAATTATAGATAGCCTAATAAGCATTTATTTTTAAATGTCTTAAGATATAATTTAAAATACATTATAGCCCATCACATACATATATATTTATATATTTATATTTAATAGTTCTTCATTTATTCAGGTATACTAATACTTAGTATTAAAAATCTTTTACGCATACTGGGGGGTTGAGGGGAGAGGGGAAAAAATGTGTAACAATGAATGAATAGAAATTTTAATAAAAGACTATATTCAAACCTATTAATACCAAATAAAATAAACATTTTCTCAAAAGAAAATCTCTTACACATATTAACATGTTTCATCCTCACAAGAACTCTGTTAGGTATGTATTAGTTATTACCTAGAGACCCTGACTGGTTAATGAACTTGGCCGCTAACTGAAAAATTGATGTCCATGGATAGAAGGGCCTGCTTTAGACATGAGCCGGTAGGAACCCCTGCGAGCACTTCCACTCTGACGCATGTCAGGTTTCCATGAGTCGGAGTCCATAATCAGAGGCAACTGGTTTTTCTTTCTTTCTTTTTACCAATTAACAGATAAGGAAGCTGACATTTGTTCATTTGCCCCTAGTTAGTTAGGTAGAGAAAGGACTCAGCTGGACTTCAGATTGAGGAGTCTCTTAACCACTCACTGTATTATGGCCATTGACAGAAACAATTTGGAATATGGCATAATCCAGTCTCTGGTGAATTGTTAGTAATACCTTTTCCCAAATGTAATAGTAAACATGAGCTTATTTCTAGAAGAAGCTACTTTCAGTTATTGATCCAAAATGTTTTTGTTTGCTTGCAATATATGTACAGAAGATTCTTAAATTTAGCTACGTCCTTTCTAAGAGTAAAACTAAAAATTACTTTGATACAGTCCCAAATCAATAACTCTTTTCTGTTACACTGTTCCCAAAAGACTGAAATATGAATACTTAATTTGAACCAATCGATTGTTTTTAGTTAATGTTGCTTTAGCATGGAACATTTTTGCGAATATTGTTAAGTGCTGTGGAGTCAAGTACGACTTATAGTGACCCTATGAAAAAAAGATCTGAACTCTGTTCTGTCCTGTGCCACGCTCACACTTCCTCACACACAAGAGCCCATTGCAGCAGTAACCATGTCAGTCCACCTGGTTGAGGGTCTTCCTCTCCTTTGCCAACCCTCCACCCTTCCCAGCATCATGTCTTTCTCCAAGGAATAGCCCTTCTTAGCAACATGCCCAAAGTATTCTTGCCTCCAAAGAGCACTCTGGCTGCACCCTCTTGAAGACATACATGTTTGTTCTCCTGGCTGTCCATAGGATGTTCAGTGCGCTTCTCCAGCACCACAGAACAAAGATGTCAATTCTTCTGTCATCCTTATTCGTTATCCAGCTCTCAGACGCATAGCAAGTAATCAGAAAGACTCTGGCCTGAATCAGATGCACCTTAATCGTTATACTAACATCATTATTCCTCAGTAGTTTGGAGAGGTCCCTAACTGCCCTTTTCCCAGTGCAATGCATCTCCTTATTTCCTGACTGCTGGTTCCAAGGGTATTAATTGTAAATCTAAGCAAGATGAAGCTGTTGATAGTTTCCATCTCCTCTCCATCCATTATAATGTTGCCTATCAGTCCAGTGGTAAGAATCTGTTTTCTTGACATTGGGATGCAATCCATACGAAAGACTGCATTCCTTGATCTTCTGCAACAAGTACTGAAAGACTGCATTCCTTGATCTTCTGCAACAAGTACTTCATGTTCTCCTCACTTTCAGCAAGCAAGAGTTTGTTATCTTCAAAATGCGGGTTATTGATTAATCTCCCTCCATTTGTGATGCCACACTCTTCTTCATAGATTCCAGCTTCTCAGATAATTTGCTCAGCATACAGATTGAATAGGTATGGAGAGAAAATAACAACCCTGACACACTCCTTTTTTATTTTAAACCATGCATTGTTCCCTGCTCTGTTCGCACAATAGCCTCCTGGTCCAGGTATAGGTTCCACATGAGCACAATTAATTGCTCTAGGATTCTCATTTTTCTCAAAATGTCAGCCACAGCTTGTTATGATCCACACAATCAGATGCTTTGGAATAGTCAGTAAAGCACAAATAAACATTTGTCTGGTATTCCTTAATTTCAGCCAGGATCCATCTAACATCAGCAGTGATATCCTTGGTGCCACGGCCTCTACTAAATCCTACTTGAACCTCTGGCATTTTCCTATCTATGTATTGTTCTAGCCATTTTTCAATGATCTTCAGCAGTATTTTGCTTGCATGTGAAATTAATGATAGTTTGATAATTTCCTCATTCAGTTGTATCATCTTTCTTGGGAATGCTAATCCATTAGCCAAACAGCTAATGATTCCTCCAAATTTTCTGGCATAGACTGGTGAGTATATCAGAGGCTGCATCTGTTAATTAAAACAAGTCAGTTGCAATCAGAGCCAAAATAAAAGGAAAACATGCTGAGGTAAAAGAGCTGAACAGAAGATTTCAAAAGGCAACTTGGGAGGACAAAGCAAGATCTTATAATGGAATGTGCAGAGAGCTGGAATTGGAGAATCAAAAGAGAAAAACTTGCTCTGCATTTCCCACGTTGAGAGAACTGAAAAACAAATTTAAGCCTTGTGTCACAGTATTGAAAGATTTTATGGGCAATATATTGAATGACCCAGAGAGTATCAAAAGAAGGTGGAGGGAACACACAGAATCACTGTACCAGAATTTCTCAGTCATGATTTTGTGGTCATTTCTTTAATAAACTATTTGACTTTTAAATAAATTGGACTATATCCATGTCATTCATTACTAGCAGCATAGTTTTCTTTTTTGAGCCGATTTTTCCTTGGTAGAGAATTCATTACTGTATTCTGTAATCTGGAGTGTACTAATACAGCATTTCAAAAGCTATATATTATGCAACACTACTTTCAGAAAATAAATTAATCAATATTAAATAGGGAAAAAAGCTATCTCTATACCTTTTCAAAAATCTGTATGCAGAACAGATTATCAGGGATGCTGGGCTCTATGAGGAGAAATGTGGCTTCAGGATTGGAGATGACACAGCCCTGCTTGCTGAATACTGAAGACCTGAAGCACTTGCTGCAGAAGTTCACGGACTGCAGCCTTCAATATGGATTGAAGTTCAGTATCAACAAAATAAAGATTCTCACTACTAGGCCAATTGAAAGCATCATGATAGATGGTGAAGAGATTGAGATTGTAAACAGCTTTAGTTTGCTTAGCTCCGCAATCGACACTCTTGGCACCAGCAGCCAGGAAATTAAAAGTATTACATTAGGAAAATCTGAGGTTCAGAGACCTCTCCAAAGTACTGAAGAACAGCGATGTCAGTCTAGAGACTAAGGTGTACCTGATACAGGCCATGCATGGTCTTTGCAATTTCTTATGCATCAGAGAACTGGACAATGACTAGGGATGATAGAAGGAGAATTGATGCCTTTGAGCTGTGGTGTTGGAGAAGAGTTTTGAATATACCATGGACTAGTAGGAGAATAAACAGTTTCATCCTGGAGAAGGTAAAACCAGGCTGCTCTTTGGAGGTAAAGCTTCTGAAGCTTTGTCTGACATACTTTGGACATGTTGCAAGGCAGGGCCAGTCCTTGGATAAGGACATCATATTTGGGAGGGTGGAAGGACACAGCAAGAGAGGAAGGCCCTCAATGAGAAAGATTGATTCAGTGGCCTGGGTAATGGGGTAGGTGTGTCAGAGACAGACTGGCATAGGATAAAGCAGGATTGTTGTACATAGAGTCATAGGGAACTAGATGTCACATAACAACAAGAAGTATAAAAAGTTGAGTAAGTTAGCTAAAATACATTCAATATTTCTCTTTACCATAACAGTTGTGAGACCTTTTAATGTACCAAAGTGTGTTATGAGTCATTTAAGAGCATGCTGTAGCATCTAGCATTTCTCCAAGGAATTTTCCCTCCCCTTCCATTTCTTTGGATACCAAGGAGAAAGTCACTGGCCAGCAACTACTTTTTAAAATGGTGCTCTGGGCTAGAATTTCTTAATCTTGGCAAAATTGACGTTTTGGGCCATAAAATTCTTGATTGTAGGGGACTGTCTTGGTGCAAGATAAGATCATTAACAGCATCCCTAGCTTCTATTTGGAATTTAAAATGAGTAGTTAAGAGTTTTAAATATAGAAACCTATAAAGAAGGTTTAGTACATTCTCCAGTAGTAAATGTTCTGGATTCACGTTTCATACCCTGGCCTAATAATAGGGAGTTGCTCATCAACCCAATGGCAGGTAGTTTGAACTTATCAGCTGCTTCTTAGAAGAAGAGCAGTCTCCTGCTGTACAAGTTACTACCTGCCAATTCAGTGGAAATCAGGGAGTTTTTTTAACTAGGTAGAGAACTGATTGTAAAGAGTTATTTCAGAGGTTACAGAATATTGTATAACAGAGACAAAAATAGAATTATTATAAAATAAACCAGAGAGCGTTATACTGAGTGAACTAACTCAGTCCCACAAGGGCAAATACTGTATAAAACAATTTTTGTAGAATGAGTATAAGGATGGGGGCGATGGAAGCATAGGGATGAGGAGGGGAGGGGAGGATTAATTATGGAGTTGTACAGTTTGATGGGGGGAGTGAGGGAAATTGGAAAAATTTGTTCTGGAAAACAATGTTTTTGAATTTTGTAAATAAACTAGTATAATTTTAAAAGAACAAACCAGAAATTTAAATTGATCTCCTTGTGAATATATTACACATTTCTAAAGTCCACTTTTTCCCTTTTGTATGCAGGGCTATTTTCTTCTTTTTGAGTCTATGCTAGATTCTGTCCTTTATGCAAAGAACAAATACTTGGCAAAAGGAGGATCGGGTGAGTATAAAGTTCTTGTTTTAATAATCTAATTTTTGTCTGTTAGAACCAAATGAACCTTTGGATTTCAAGTAAACTATGCATGGCTGAGAAAGTTTCCAATAGAGATGAAAGATGTTTCCATTAGATGGAGCTTAAAGACATTCATTTACTATATTGTTGATAGAACATTATGTAACATATTCAGGGCTCCAAGTAAATGATGTTCACAAGAGCACTGTCTATTAAACACGAAGAACTGGAATGGGGAAGCTTTTAGATACTCAGGTCCCAATCTTAACAAATTATTTTTTATTTTCAGTTGTCCTTACAACATTTAGTTCCTTTTTTCTCCAGTAGCATTGTTCACATTAAGAAGGAGATTATTCACTTTATCTAAGTGACTATCTATTCATTAAATACATATACTTACCTTCTTAAAATAGTAATGGTTTCTAATAGAGGTGTGGTGGTGGTGGTGTTTTTCAAAGCGTAACATGCCCTATCATTGTTTATAAATGGATACCAGTACATCCTGGAAAGCTTTCTTTTCCTATCTCTGGAAAACCCTGAATCAAATTTACTCTCACTTATCAAACACGATTGTGTTTTTACACGCCGTTTGCTGTGAACAATATAAACAAATAGAATATTCTTCTTCAGAGTAGGGATTGTGTTTAATTCAAAGATCCTCCACAACTCCTGGAACATAGACATTATTGTTATAATATTTATGGCATTGAATCATTAAAGAGACATTGAATTAATCTTTCTTTCAGTAATGTCTCTCAGTACGTTCTTTTTATAAAGACTTCAGAGTCAGAAGATGGGTTCCGTGAGGAGAGTTGTTAGAGGCTGCAGACTGACTCGGCGTGGCCTGATGTGCATCCTCACACAGCTCTATCTGAACCTGTCCCTCCTTAATCATCGCTGCAGTCCTGAATCCTTCACTGACAGTCTTCCTCTTTTGCTGACCCTCTGCTTTACCACACATGTCTTCTCCGGGGACCAAGCCTTCCTGGTAACACCTAAAGTTTGAGATAAGAAGTGGCACTATTCTTGCTTACTAATTCCAAAACTGATTTGTCAGTTCTTTAGGCAGTTCACAGTGGATTAGATATTCTTTGCCTACACCAAGGCATGATGCAAGGCATCACTTCTCCAGTCTTCCTTATTCATTGTTCAACTTTCACATGCATTTGAGGTGGTTAAAAAATACGATAGATTGGATCAGACACCCTAGTTCTTCAAAGTAGCATCCTTGCTCTTGGCACATTAAAGAGATCCTTCATAGTAGATTTGTTCTATGCAGTAAATGCTTAGATTCCAAACTGCCACATCTGTGGGTGTTGATTGTGAATCCACAGAAAATGAAATCCTTGATGACTTCAGTATTCTTCACACTAGTCATCATAATGCCTATTCTGTCCACCAAGGAATAAATGTTACCTTTGTTACTTCCTGTGATCTTTTAAAAAACCAAGTAAGGTGCTAGTAATAATTGCATAACTATATATGGTGACACATATGAATAGGCTAAGCATTCATTTTCTTTAAACTCACATCTACCTGACCCTCAAATTTATATTCTTTTCACTATGTCTATTTTCCTACTAGAGTGTATTTTATTAAACATAATTTGTGTATTAAAATTGTAAATAGAAGAGATGTAGAAAACTGTTTCTATACCTCACTGAATCCCATTTGTTGATCTTGCTTAAAAGATTGCTAGCAATTTAATACCAAGAAACTAAAAAATCTTTAGTGGAACTTACTAAGAATCTAAAGCAATACAGATAATGAGGCTATAGTGGATGAAACACTGGCTGAGTTATTTTCTGTCATCAAAATGGTAGCGTAGAGGTTCATAATGTAGCTCTTTTTCTGCTTTTATATAGTTAAGTGTTCCATCACCGATCTGTCAGTTGATTGTAGTTTGATGGCTTCTTGCTATTGTGATCCTAGCTGTTCGATCAATGGTGTTTCAAATGCCAACAGTGTAATCAGTGATGTGAAGACCTCTGGATCAGCCTAGGGAAACGAGCTTGACAATCTAACTGTTAAAATGGATGGTGGAACCCTATAGTATAAAACAGACTATTGTCCAATGTAATGCTGGAAGATTAACCCCTAGATGGGCATTCACTCAAAGAGCCCAGTGGAGTTCAGTCTGTCACTGAGGTGGACATGGTACAGGACCAAGCAGTTTCATTCTCTTTTACTTGGCCATGAGTAGAACTGGATTGCAACTAACAACAATAGTAGTGTAAAGATAATTTGTAGACATACAGATAGTGCTGGTGAATGTTGTTACCTTAGAATCAGAAGAACACGAGAAGGTGGGGGTGTGAGAAATTAAATCAGAAGAAGGTGGGGGTGTGAGAAATGAAGTCAGAAAAGTGTAGCATAAAGTAGTCAAGCTTACTTGTGTACATGAGTAGGGCTTGATGAATACCACCAATAATCTAGATGCTCACTTTATTATTGCAAAGTTTTCAGAAGATTTATTATACAATTGGGAGTGTAAAGATTTCAGTAAGAATGATTGTATTATGACTAAGAGAGAATATTGAAGACCTCATACAAGCATGATAAAATCACAGTTCATTTTTCATTGAATTTATACCCAATTCTCTTTACACACTTTTTAATCTTCTCAGGATAATCAGCTGCTCATACCAGTCCATAGGGTTTAACAGTGCCCTTTAATGATGCTCAATTTAGTATGTCTATTGGCATGGTGACTTCAGCATTGGGTTCTAATGTATCAGAGATTATTAAGATGGCACAGGGTATGACAGGATGCAGCTCAGCTGTTCATAGGGCTGCTGTGAGTCAGACTCAACTTGGTGGTACCTAACAACAACAGTCAGATCTGCCTTTATTTTTATTTTTTTATTTTATTATTTTTCATTCATTTAGTAACTCTTGTAATCTTGTTTCACATTTCCATATAATATGAACTTATTTTTAAGAAAACTTTATATTAATTTTTTAAGTTCATTCAACTCCTCAAACAATTCCTGATTAGATGGCTTAGTAACACATTTCCCCATTATTCATAAGACTGTAACCATGGTTTGTTTGTTGTTTTAATACTTGGAAGATCAGATATTTTGAGGAAAAGAACTGGTTTTCACTTAATTTGTCTTATTTTCTACTTTAGTTCCAAAATCTTTTTACTCTTTAGTTATGTTTATGTGAACAGTGATATCATTGTTTACTAGAACTTACTTCTGTATGCATCAGTCTTACCCTTTAGTGTCCAAAAGTTTGTGAAACATTTCTAAGGAATAAAGGATTTCCCATCTTGTCTGTTCACCGTGTGAGCTGTTCTAGTGACAAATGAATTCTGCGCAGTGACTCGAGAAGGACACAGATGTCAAAGCCAGGCATTTATAAATGGTCTGGTAAGAGGGTGCTTTTGTCCAATCAGTGCTTTGTTAATTTCACCTACAAGTAGGAATAATTATTCAATTATAGCCCCTATCTGACAAAAATCAAATGACAGATGTGTCAGAATGTAAAAGGAAATGGCTAGTCAGGAGGCTGGCAGGTGGCCTAAAATTCTAGCCAGCTGTGGGAAGGTGGAAATAGAACAAAAGTGACTTGTGACACTGATGACAAATCCTTTATGAATATTTATAGGTTATAACTGATTTACAAATGGAAAATCATTTCATTTCTAACATACAAAAACTGTGATTTCCTTTAGCAATACATACTATACAACTTGAAAACATCTCTCACCCCTAGAGAAAGTAAATCATTCCAATTAATTTTTTCTTCTTACCAAACATATTTGTAAAACTTTTTAAAAATGAGGTTCAGTAATTTGTAGTCTTCCTTTTTAAAAAGCCATCCATATTTCTTCCCCCCCCCC